ACCTCTGTACTGTGCTGAACTCTTCTGGACTAGGCTAGGCTTTGACTTCTGCTGCCGTAGACTGTGACCACCCTTACGATCTGTACTAGGACTGTCTCATTCAGTCCTTCCACCTAGATCTGTTCCACACAGATCTCTCTTAGCAGCCGAATGGCTACTACCTGTTGCAGGGTGTCTAGTAGGGCATCAGCTTCTGGAACAAACTCCCCTTGGGCCCTACAACCAAGGGAAACCCTAGATACAGACCTTGCTATGTTCTACGGTCAGCCCTAGGGTTTCTTCACAGCGGCCAAGATAGGAGAGAGAGAAAAAAAAAAGGAATAGAGAAGAGGAGAAAAGAGGCGGCTGTAACCAGACAGACGGATTAGTGCTCTGATACCATGTTTGCTGGAAAACAACAGCCGAAGAAGAAGAAGAGAAGAAGAAGAAGATTTGAGAATGGCGGCTTACTCACTTCAGCTGACCCTACAATCTTATATAGATGTTTACAAAGTAATGTTACATGAATGGACTAGAATGCCCCTGATTAGTGATGGGACACCTAGACAAATAAAAAATTAAGCAAGTTTAGGCCCAATAACTAAGGCCCAATAATTAAGAACTTAAGACACAAATATGACTAACATAAACACTAAACCAGCCGAACCAACACTAAGGGTGAGTTATATTGGATTTAAAATTCATGGCTATTTCTTCTTGTTTTGGTTTTGTACTTATTGTATTTTTATGTGTTGTTGGTTATTTTGGGTTGTTGTTGTTGGTGGCATTATAACTAATAAAAATGGTAAACGTGTGCACCATTCTTATAACTAATAAAAATGGGATGCAAATCAGGGTACATTTAGGATTGGAGACCAAGTGATAACTCAATGTGACCTTTTTTGATACCTTGGTTCAATAATTCATAACAAGGGTGAGATTGAGGAGGATGTCACCCATAGAATTAGAGTAGAATGGGCAAAATGGAGGGTTGCATCTGGAGTTTTATGTGATGGGAAAATACCATTTAGGTTAAAAGGAAAGTTCTATAAAGCAGTTATAAGGCCAGCTATGTTTTATGAGCATAGTTTTGGGAAGTCAAGAAGCAACATTTCCAGAAAATGAGTATGGAATAAATGTGTATATTGAGATGGATGAGTGAAAAAAATAGAAAGAGTATGATAAAAAGTGAAGTCATTTATAGGAACTTAGGAGTAACTCCAGTAGAAAATGAAGAAAAAAATAACAGATGACCTCTTAGAAAGATTTAGTCAGTCATCAACCAGCCTCTGGAATCACTATTGTTGAGTTTCAGCCCAGAAAGAAAGTTGCACCCGAAGAGCTCTGAGGTCTAGGACAGGCTTGTCTTCTTCATTCTCAGTCCAAGGAACAGAAAGGAGGGCTTCTATCAGAAAGGAAAGGATTTACAGAGCACCGTCCTGCTCTGATACCATGTTTTCAGTTCGATAGAAGAAGAGAAGAAGAGAGAAGAGGGAGAGAGAAGAAGAAGAGAAGAAAGAGTTGAGAGAGCCAAAAGTTCTGGCTGGTGGTGACAGAGCTTGTTTATATAGATTAGGGCGACCGTACAAAATAAAAGAAGGGAAAAAGACAAAGACGTTAATGCCCTTGCAGCATATAGTACATATTACATCACACTTCTTAAACTGAAGGAAGATCTTTGCTTCCTAAAATCTGCACCCTGATGGATTCATACATAGGATTCAGCCCCAAAAGAAAGGCGAGCACCCATTGCTGAGTAACCAGGAACTTATATGCATTGGCATCTGCATAACAATTCCAATCCATATTTAGATAGTGATCCAACTCCCTCCAAATAGATGTCAAATATGAGTAATAAGATGAGAGGTTCCGCTCCCACTATCTACAAGTAGAAGATTCAGCCTACAGTTGGTAGATTTTTGCATAATTCCTTTGCTCAGAATATGTGGATTTTGCTTGATCCCAAATTTCATAGGTTGCCTCTGCCCACATAAAACTTTTCCTCACTTGTGGCAACATATGGAGACTAAGAGTCATGACATCACCATACTATTTTCCTAATTCTACTTATAATGTTCTGCACTCCCAGACTTTGGCTCCTTAATTGTTCCATTTATGTAGCTTATTTTCCTCCTTGCAGTTATGTAAAGTTTAATTCCCATCGACCATTGTAGGTAGTTTAGTCAACTTAAGAGAACTACAGCCATAGGAAAGTTTATATCGAACCCCCATTCACTCCACCATGGCTAGTAGGCACACCGTAAGTAGTCGAATCCTCAGATGACATGTTAACAGGGATTGTTGTTATAGTTCAGCTACACAGTAGGCAAAAGGAGGAGACACAACCACCAGACCACTCAACCTTGTATAACAGCCTAAAAAAATATTAACCACTATCCACACATGACGCAAGTACTGGAACACTTCTTGAACTGTTTTGGAAGCCAAAAAATAACAAAACACAGATCAATAAAGGTTTGGATAGTCTCTACAAACATCAAATACCCTCATCTAGGGCACACAATTACACTTTCATCAAATAACAATAAATAAACGTTCACTGCAAGTACAAGTCATTCCAGACCTACAAACCACTCACCTGAACACACAAGGATCAGATGATCCATGCAAGGGAAGAGAACACACCTCAAACACTGTCACTGCATTCAATCGCCACATGTACAGGCTATATCTTGGCACACAACCAAGAGAAAAAAGAGAAAAAATTAAGTTGATCTCCTCAAACCTGCCACTAGAGTATTTTTTTTCCTTGATTTGGAGGGAAACAAACAGCAAGAAAGAACAAGAATCCTTAATCGAACAGTCTTCAAGCCCAAGATCCCTACTTTGATACCATGTAATCTTGGAAGAAAATAGTATAAGAAAGGAAGAAAGAGAGAGAAGGAAGAAGAGAAGAGATAAAACAAAAATTTTGAGTTCAAAAGATTAGGCTGGAGGCACCAGCATTAGTATTTATACTAGGGCAACCAATACATAATAAAAAAGAGAAAATTTTACAAAAATGCCCCTACGGCACTAACACATAAATAATGGTAGTTTTAACGGTCCCAATCAGTTAAATTTATCATCAAGAGGTAAATTGGGATTTATTACAGGTAAAGAAGTAAAGCCGAACCTTGAATATTTAAAGTCTGCTAAATGGAAGCAAGACAACTCATTGGTGATGTCATGGTTGGTCTGCTCAATGCAACCTCATATTTCCCATAGCTATCTGTTTCTATCCATTTCCAAAGATGTTTGGTACAAAGTTGTTGATACCTACTCCCAAACTAAGAATACAACTAGAGTGTATCAACTTCAAGGAGAAGCTTGTAGTATGTGCCAGGGGGAGAAAAATACTACCAAACGCCCAATATGAAATAAGTGCTTATTTTTTAAAATAAGCACTTGAAAAAGATAGGTGTCAAATGCAAATAAGTGCTTATTCAAATAAGCACTTGTTTTTAAGCACTTATTTTTAACATAAGCACTCCCAAACATAGCCATAGTTACATAAAAATCTATTATCTGTTAGTTCCTTTACAAAATCCCATAATTTGAAAATAATGCTTTAGTTGGACACGGACTAACTTAGCACAATTGGGAATGACAAAGGTTTCTTCCATCCACATTATTATCTAATATTTGATTTAGGAACTACACCATGCACAATATAGAAATTGTGAGGGATATTATTGGATTTCTAATCTGTTGATATGGACACAAGTTACTTTGGATGCTTCCTTGATGTATTTTGACTTCAAAAGGTGAAAAAATTACAAGTTCATAGGTTTCCCGATACAATCATGGAACAGACTGACCTAACATGCGCTTCTGTGCAGGGCATTCGTAAGCCAGCTAGTAACAGGTTACCTTCCAAGTGTTATCTTGCAATTATTTCTTTATCTTGTTCCACCAACAATGATGCTATTTTCAGCAGTTGAAGGTTCTATATCTCGTAGTGGCAGGAAAAAGAGTGCATGCTGCAAGGTCTTGTACTTCACAATCTGGAATGTTTTCTTTGTTAATGTTTTGTCAGGATCTGTCATTAGCCAGCTGAATGTCATTTCTAGTCCAAAAGACATACCTATCCAACTTGCTAAAGCTGTACCAAGGCAGGTGATTGTTACTTCCAATCTCTCTGGTTTGATTTGATGATCCTGCTTTTTCTGTCAGACTTTATAGGAAATACCCCGCCTGTCTTTCCATTACAATGTCATAGTGATGGTCAAGTTTCTTTCCTGCTCATGAAACTATGTAATCACTTCTTTGTGAATATTAACTTCCTATCAGTTGAAATTCTCTTTTTCTAGCTTTCTATGTTTCAACAATAAGTTGTTTTCGCACATTTGGTGCATGAAAATAATTTATTCAGTGACTGTTGAGTTGCAGTTAGCCTTCATTTTATGATACTCCAGGTTATATTGATGCAATTAAGCATCTATAATAGAAAATAATTTGATAATTCAATGAATGGAGCAAACGATTTCCTAGTTTCTAAATTTTTATTATAAGTTTAACGTGACACTTCAATTGCCTACTGTATGACCATTATGCTTTTCAAATGTTTGCAGGCTACTTTCTTTATTACTTATGTTTTAGCATCAGGTTGGGTAAGCTTGTGCTCTGAAATCATGCAACTTTTTGCTCTTGTTTGCAATTGGTTCGATAAATTTATACTCAGAAAGAAGGAGAACCCATCATACAGTGCCCTATCTTTCCCATACCACACAGAAGTTCCAAAAGTTCTTCTCTTTGGACTCCTTGGGTTCACCTGTTCTGTCTTGGCACCTTTGATTCTGCCTTTCTTGCTAGTGTACTTCTTTCTTGCTTATGTTGTGTACCGTAACCAGGTGAGAATTTCTCCAATTGATTTATATCAATTTTTATAGCTTAAATTTATTCAAGTATGGGCATGGCCATGCACCAACTTCTACAATTGGTTTACTTTTCTCTCATAATAGACTTCATAGAATTCTCATTTCTTAGAAGCAAGTATATTTTGAATCCATAATGAATCCTTTTCACAAAATTTGGCAAACAATCATTAATAACTATGCTTCAAAACTTGTCATGTCGAAACTGAAACTTGACTCTAGTTCACTTGTCCAATGCACTCTTTTTGTTAATAAATAAAAAAGAAATTTTATTGAAATACAAAATGAATTTTAGAACAAGGTGATATGATATCACCCAACAAGGAAAAAAAGACCCTCTTCTAAAAATATTGGACTCAAAACTCCCAAATCCAGCAAGAGAAACACCCAAAATCCCTAAAATAATACATAAACAAACTTAATGACATGACACTCCAGAGTCCAGACTATACCATAACTCGTCAAGTCCAATGGATAAAAAACCTTCCAAATGACTATTGCCCAACTAAATAATCAATTGCTTAGTGTCTCCTGAATCCTGACCAGGACTCGCCTTACTTAATAGTTTTTTTCACCTTCTTTATGGGCCCCATCCCATATAATCCCCCCTGCAATCTGGCAAAAACCTTCAACACCCGAACAGCTCTCTAAGTCTTCTCACTGCATTAGGGGCTTTCTCAAAAGCCTGCATATCCTTAGAGTTGTCATTGATTCTAACTCCAGCACCACATTTTTCTCAAAAAACTGATCTGATGACAACTTACTATCCTCATTGGTATCATTCTATGACCCTTCATGAGAACTCATCAACTCAACCAGCTTGATCACTTTTGGTCCTTGCTACAGAGCTTGTCCCAACAGGAACCACACTATCTTCCTCCCTTATCATCAGAGGCAAAGGATATATTTCTTTTAATTCCTTAAATTTTTTTACTTGCAGATTTCTCCCCTCTGATAAAGATCAAACCCAGAGACTTTCACCACCACCTCTATATTCACTATTATAGTGACTTGGCTTTTCCATTGTTTGATCCTATCAAGAAAACCATATCCAACTCAATAAGTTGATATGCAATTTGTGGTAATTACGGAACTACAATTAAGGTTTATATATTTATAAAAGATAAATTTATCAAATATTTGTTGATTTCTAACTGATTCACCTATTAACCAAGTACACCTGAGAAAGAATTCCCTATCAAACCACGTGATTGCTACAAGTGTATTGGTTCAGTCTTTCTCAAACCCTAGCTTATATCTAAAATTCTTTAGAATAATGATTATATCAAACTTGCTTCTTTCTTTCTTGTATCTATCTATTTTCTCGTTTTTCTTGTGCTTCTCCTAGAAGATAATGTAGGGAAGCTAGGTTTAACTCAATTGTCATTGTAAGCAGTCCTAAAAGGTTTCAGATTTTCTGAGAAGATGCTTGAATATGAGAAAGGCCACTCAACCTCTCTCTCTCTCTCTCTCTCAATATATTTATTATATTCTTTAAACCATAATCAAAAGACAATATAATGCCAATTTATGTAAATATTGTGATAAGAACACCTTGATTATGCTTCATATAACCTATCAACATCCTCAATACTTAAATCCCCAAGAAAAACTTTAAGTTGCCTAGGTCCTTAGTCTAGAAATGTTTCTATAGAAACTATTTGAGTTCTTCAATGTTTTAAGTGTCACTACTTGTAATAACAATGCCATCAACATAAACAACCAAGTTAATTTCAAATAATGTTATCAGTTATCACAACTAAATACAGAACGTTTAACCCAACACTATTTCAAGCCAAATTCTGCATAATCTCATTAAATTGACCAAACAACACTCTGGGTGATTGTCTCAGCCCATATACAGCTTTCAACCAACATACTTTGGCTATCTCCCCCTTGCAACAAAACCAGGTTGTTGCTCTATACTTCCCATAAATCATCCAATTGAAACAAGGTCATCCAAAGTTGAAAGCAAGATGATAATGACTTGAACGAATCCAATTTTAGCAACTAGGCAAAAGGTTCTAGAGTATTCCACGCCATATGTTTGCATATATCCTTAGCTACCAAGGAAAACAAGGATCCCTGCATAGAATGAGGAACAGAAAAAAGGACAATAAGGAAACAAACTATTGTTATGGAAATAAAAAGACAGATACAGTTGAAAATAGAATGGATGGTACATGCAATAATACCTGTTTGAAGTGCAACTGGAAGATGTAAACAGAAACAAAAATGTTAGACCTATTGATGGGAAAAATGATGTTGGAGTCACAAAAGCATTCCATGTGGGTTTACAATGTGTATACACTCATTGAATCGGTGGCTTTCTACTAGTTGTACATCTAAAGGACCAAACATTACAAAAAAATCCATAGGGGTGGGCAAAGGAAGTAAAGAAACATCAGTAAGAGAACCTTCACTAGAAAAAAAGGTTCTAATTCAAAGAAGTGAGATCAGGATAGACAAAATATGTTCATAGTAAGGACTATAACACTTCTGCCCTTTTTAAGCCCTAGAATAACCAAGAAAGGCACCTTTGATAGCACATGTATCCAATTTATCAGTAATCACAGCCAAGATCCATGCATTATAGAAACCAAAATATGCCTATAGGAAAAGGAAAGGAAGGAAAAGTCGGGAACAATACAAAACTGGTTACCTACTTAAGTACTACTTATGTTCCACCACTGTGAAAGTAATGTAGTCCTCCAGCTTCAAGTCTACCAATCTTCTTTCTCATCTTGAGATCATGAAATACACAATGTGGTAAAAAGAAGGTGATAGAACAATATTGATTTACATTAACAAACATAAAATTAAAAGGAAATTTTGTAACATACGCACGGAAGACAAAGACAAGAAAGAATCAAGATGGACATTACTTGCATCAGACACTAATGATGCAGTACCATCGGCAACAGGGACTAACTGAAAGGTATGAATCTGTGAAAGAGAGGTAAATGTGACTAGAGACCTAATCATAAGATCTAAAGCTTTAGAATCTATGACTACAGACCCAATCATAAGATCTAAAAGCTTTAGAATCTTTGACTAGAGACCCAATCATAAGATCTAAAGCTTTATGATCTCTCAAACTCCAATACATTTTTCCACACTTTTCATCCTGAGATTTTACCTGAGGTTCAAAATTTTGTCATGTATCACCTGTATCAGCCGATACATATCGTATCAATGGGTACCGATACACAAAATGTGGGTGTTTCGGGATTTTGACCTATTTCAGCAGGTAGACGGGCCCAAAACCTACCCTTCACCCATTTTTGAAAAAACAAAGGTGGGCACATGGTCCAAAGTACCTATACACCCCTTGCACGTATCGGGGGTGTATTGATACTTTGGACCTTCATCACACCAAGTAATCACCCCTTGCACTGTATAAAAACATAAGGTTGGCACTAATCTTCAAATCCATATTGTTCTAAAACCATGATATTATCTGCACAATATCGTGTACCCACTTACTGTTTCCATTGCTACTAGACATAGGCCTAGTATCTGTTAAATATTTAAGCATATCTTTGCTGTAAAAAATATCATACAGATATAGACCAAGGTACATATCTCACCATTTAACTTAATTGAAGCCATTTGAACAGTGAAATATACATTCACCATTCGTTCAATTCACTTGCACTCTCAGACAATTCCATCTCTTTCAAACATCTATCGAGCACCTTAGGAACATGAGACAAAAGCACATGATAGGCTCCTACATAAACTTGTAGACCAATGGAACAAACTTGACAACAGCACAGCTGAATAACTGATGAAGGTATGCTATGAACTCAAGTAGGAACATAAATTTTTTCACTCTTATATGCATTTGAGGGGCATCATTGCAATCTATGTCTCAATTGACCGGGCATTGCCAATACAGATGAATTTCCCGAGATGTCTCTATTCACCCCTTAAAATTATTGCAATGAATCATATATAGTAATTAACTAAGAAGCAACTTCGTACATTCCTGTTTTCCACCAAGAAACAATAGAAATATAGGGGAGAAGGAGAAAGGAAAACAAAGAGGAAACAAGAGAAGAGAAGCTTTAGAGAGCCAAAAGATCTGCCTGATGTGCTAGCTTTTTATCATTTATACTAGGGACAACACGAACAAATAAAAAGAAGAGGAAATTACATAGTCCCTTGGCAGCACACTCTAATATAAAAAACAAAAAGAAAAACATAACACTAACAATACCCCCTCAATTTGGGCTGTATATGTCAATCATGCCCAACTTGTCACATAATTCATTGTGCTGCAAACTCTAAAGCCCCTTTGTAATAACATCGGCAAGTTGCTCCTTTGAGCTGACATAAGGAGTGCACACTTCACTTTTCTCAAGCTTCTTTCTTACAAAGTGCTTGTCCATTCCAATATGCTTTGTCCTGTCTTGGAGGAAAGGGATTTATTGCAATATTTATGGATGTCTTGTTGTCACAGTAGAGGGATATAGGGTTGTCAAAACTAAACCCCAGCTCCCCCAACAAATTCTTTATCCAAAGCACTTCAGCCACCCCATGCGCCATAGCCCTATATTCAGCTTCAGCACTTAACCTTTCAACTACACTTTGCTTTTTTCTCTTCCATCTCACCAGGTTTCCTCCACAATAATTACAATACCCACATGTCATGTAAACATTCTTCCCACTATACTTGTTTTCCCAATAGAGATGCTTCAGAGGCTCTACCCTTCAAGCTTGTAGCTGCAAGTTGGGTTGCCTGACTTGAAGAATTTTAATTACATTGGGCTAAGGTCAGGGTTCAGACCCATTGAAATTTTAATAAATTCCCAACCCAACCTGACCCAAGTTGCACCCCTATTCAAAATTACATAGACAGGCTTTTTCATCATCATTTCAATAAAAAAATTAACCAATTTGAAGATTCTTTAGTTCCTTTTATGTATAAAACTAGGTATTTCTAGACAAAATTCCTGCTGACACAAATTCTTACTTCACAAGCCTCTAAATTCAGCAATTCAAATAAAAATGTAAACTGGATTTTTGTGATAACTTGTGAATAAGTCAGATGTAATCATGTAATTTCATAAATCATTTGTTTATTGAATGGTTTTGAGATTTTGCATGGTAACTTTTGTGGCCCAGAAACACCACAGTCGAGGTTTTTGGGTTAATCTTGTTACATAAAACTTGTCACAAGTATTGGAACTCTGGCTGTCTGGCTCATGGCATAAGAACCCTTCAAGCATGTTTCTTTTCTCTTATGCACTTTGGATGTTTCTTCAACATCTCTTATCAAATAAGTTTCATACTCACAATTCTCCTAGATTGACACAAATTGAATCCCAGTTATATGGATCTTCTAATCCTGTAATTCCTTACTTGTTGACCACATTTAACCTTACCAAACCCAATGAAGAACATTATGGGTCTATATGGACCAAAATCTTGAAGTGCTGTTTTGTTCAATAGCATCGAACGTAATACCCAAGTGAGCCACCTATTGGTCTGCAATGGGTTTGACAGATTTCTTCTGAAGTGGTGGGAAATGGGAATGGTCTCAAAAGGAAATCAAAATAGGTGGAGAATCCAAACATACCGGTGGTGAGGTAGAAGATTCATTTTTTCCTGTGGAGCCTTAGAGTATTTCATAAGTGTAAGATCAGGGATGATATTGACAAAACTAGTGTAAACTCTAGAAAAACATAATTAGAATTCTGTATCTTATTGACATTTGATGCTAAACCTCAGTCTCATACAGTTATGATTGACCTTGTGAGTTTGGATCCATTCTGGAACAATATCATGGACCTTTTTTTTCTGTCCCAAAGTAATTTTGGAGTGTATTACCAGAATCACGATAATATTCTTAGAGAATTTAATGTCCTAATCATGCTTCAATGCAAGAATGGAGATGCAACGATATCAAAGTATTTCCAGAAGCTCCAAGCTTACATCCTCAGGCTTCAACAATGTCATTTTGGTCACGTTAAAAATATTTTCTTCATGTTATTGTTTACTTGTGTTATTGGGAGTAAGGATGCCACCCATTTCACATCTGATGTATTCCACAATCAGCAAATGATCCTGGTTTCTAGGAGCTTCTTGCGCTTCCATTTTGGAATGTGATATGAATATGACTACTAAAAAGTTGTCTCAATTTCTATTTCTTCTTACTGCTCCACATCCTTGTATTTTTCCTTTCATTCATCTTTTTTGACATGTAAATCCTTTTTATCCATTGACGGATATCTCCTGATACTGACCTTTAAATATGAATGTCAGATTGTTAATGTGTATGTTTCAAAATATGAAACGGGTGGACAAATTTGGCCTATTGTACACAATACCACTATTTTCGCACTGGTGCTGACACAAATAATTGCACTTGGAGTGTTTGGAATGAAACAGTCACCAATTGCATCAGGCTTCACCATCCCATTGCTGATATGCACTCTCCTTTTCAATGAGTACTGTAGGCAGCGATTTGGTCCTATATTTAAGACGTTCTCTGCAGAGGTACCATCTTTCTTACACAGACATTCATTTTCATTGTTGGTCTAGGTCTCATGTGTTGGTTGTCAACAGGTTCTTATTGAAATGGATCGGAAAGATGAGAAATGTGGACGGATGGAAGAGATTCATCAACAACTGCTATCGGCCTATTGTCAGTTTTCATTGAACCCGAATGATTTATTATGCAAAGCTGAGGACTCAAACCGTTCTGGAGGTGCAAATTGCGTGCACTATCCAGAAGACATGAAAACAGGTTTGGTTCACCCAATACTTGGCAGATTTCCTCTACCCAGAAATCAACAAGTAACCACTTGACTGTCTATGCTCATTGCTTTTCAGGAAAGGAATCCACTCAATCGAGCAAACCATGGGCTGCTAGCAGCAGCTTGGAAAGAGGAGATACCAGTGAGCAGTAGAATGAGATGGTGTTTTGTATATAATTTATTTGTTCTATACCTCAACAGTTATGTGCAACGTGCAAGGTTGATCGATGAAAGGACGTGCTTGAGGATTGTTTTTTAAGTCTTGTACAAACCAATGCCTGCCTCAATGCCAATTGCTGCCTTACTGCTCCTCATGCCATTTATTAGTTCTCATCAGCGAATGCAAGATAAAAGTATGTTCAATTGACGGGTCAGCCATTCAATTCTGAGAAACAGGGTAAGAGAAGAAATTATCTTGTTCAACTGCTTTAAATTCAACTCAGTCTTAATCACAATTAATTGGGAACATGAAACTGACTCAATTGTGCTCTATAATATCTGCTCATCAATTTTTCTGTACAAATGCCTTGTGATTATTGACATTTCTTTGTATTTGGTCTATGACCAGTCAGGAGGTTGTGAAAGGTGGAGCCTACTAGCACTTTTGCTTGTGTTCACCGTATACTTATCTAGGATGCTTGATTTCAATGTCAGACTACCAACCAAATTCATAATGACAGTCTGATCCATGATGTAACTGGGTTTTTGGCTTCATTTTGAAAAATGTCAAAATATCGGTTGCCTCTACATAATGCAAATGTCTAAATTATACATAATCCTGATTGAACCAAATGTGATGTACCTTTTTTTTTCTGAATCACTGGTTCTGAAAAATGTTTCAAGGCTGTACCTATGAGAGATCAAATCAGCAATATCGAGAGCTAGGACAGTGGTTTAAATTGTATTTCCACATTAAAAATTCTCCTTACGAATGGAATAATCAGCCTTCACGTGTCTTTCTTCCGAATCACTGGTTCTGAAAATTGTTTCAAAAACCGTATGGGACAATTTGAGACTTTCGGGCGTGGAAAAGCTCAATCTGGATTACCAGTTACTAATCCGGTGATACCAGTCCCGATATGAAGGGCTAGAATTATGACCTCTCTTTTGTCTTGGACATCCACCAAAAGCAAGTTTCATATCTAGAAACTGTAATATCATCTAGGAACAAGGATAATTTGTCTGTCCGGACTGGTCAGTTTCAACCTCGGAATTAGACTGCAAAACTTAAGTACTCGAATGCTGCATGGAAATAGAGCGTAGTAGCCTGAAGCTGGGTTTTCAGGTCCATGGGCTGGCATGGTATGACGAGCAGGCCGTGTTGCCTGCGGCCCGCAATGGTCCAGCATGGCTTGGGCCACTATGGACCAATCTGGCCCACGACACAGTATAGCATGGCTTGGGCCGTGGGCCATGATGGGCCGACCCCCAAAGTATCCCATAGGAGGGAAGCATAGCCCAACTCAGCTCCCAGGCTGGCACGGTACGGCACATCCCGATTTATATATCTAACCCAAACCCTGAACTAAAATATTGAATAAATGAACCCAAGGAGTTTATTTATGCCACATTCTAGCTGCAACAAAAAAGATAATAACAAAATATTTTCTAAAGAAGCTATGCACAATCATGCTGGCAAACACCCACTCTGGCTGAAAAGTGAAAATACGATCACTGCATTATAAATGACTATGATGAATATCTGGTTTCACTTAGAAGAGAAAACCTCCTTCGGCACCAATTTCATCACATCCAGCTTAAGCTTAGAGGATCTGGCATCACAACTAAAGGCTTGGTCATAAATCATAACATTTAGCGAAACAAAATCTCTTAAGCCTGTATGCAATTGAAGCATCGTTTTTTTTTTTCACTACCAATATAATGGAAGCTCCTTGGTTCATGGAATACTAGCAGTGACTTGTGCAATGCACAGGCTGCTTTTTAAAAATGCATTTTTAAGGGAAAAATAAAGTAATAGGGATTTGCGTTTTTATATATTTCTAGTTCTTTATACATAAAATAATAGATTTTTTTTTTCTTTTTTAGTTATTGATCTTCAAACTTATTCATTTTTTGTACAGCTTATATATCATGAGAAGTAATCAATTACTTAGCATGAGAACCAACTAAGGGTGGCTTAATTGATAGGTTTTATGGCTAATTGAAGCAAAGGCCTAGGATTAAATCCTGATACCACTAGGTTGGGGGTTAAATGCTTTTACTATTGAGCTAGAACAATCCATGGAGCAAATGAATTAATAAAAAAGAGAGAAAAACCTAATAACCCATGGAAAGGAACAATAGTTTCTTTAGACTTTTATATTATAAGAAAATCCATGTACTGGTGGCAAATTTGGGTTTTAATATTAGTTAGGTTCAAACAAAGGTTCATATTAAGGTTGGCCTCTAACCTAACCTGATCCATTTAATTTATTTTCTCTAAAACAATCCATCTAATTCACACTCCTACTTTTATTAGAGAGTGCTAAAAGGGATTAAAAGAGTTGTAAGAGGAAAAAAATGGGGAGGGGAGATGTGGGGGAGGGGGGGATTTAAGAATGGTCTTATTAGAGAGTAATAAATATGGATTCTATATTTTGCCTTGCTATATTTTTAATGATTTCATTTAAAAATAAATGTGCACATGTGTGAGTAAAGAGAAGAGGAGGAAACATGTGCGAGCTTTGTGGTGAAAGGACCCTTCAATCTCCTCATCTTTCCTCTTTCTATTATATATAGATACTAGCGGGAACTCGTGCAATGCACAGGCTTTGTTAGAGAAAGCTAAACAATAAAAACACGAGTATAGAATTGTTTTATATTTTAACTTTTAAAATAATTAATAATTATTCATACTTTATTTACTACCTTTAATAATTTTTTATAATACAAAAATAACAATAATTGATTTTAGGTAGGGTTGTTCATCAAACTGATGAAACCAACCAACTCGACCCAACTTGATCCGAGTTGGTCGATTTTCTAGTATTTCCAATCGGCTTTGGTTCAACAATTTCCCAACCCAATTAGGTTGGATCAGTTTCAGTTTGGCCATTTGTAAATAGACCAAAACCCAATCGACACAACCATAGTATAATTTTTTAATACAAAAAAGTGGGAGAATTCCCATGTTTCTTAGTTTAAAATATTTTATATTGTAAGTTTAATTTTTAATATATTTTTAATAATACCACAATAATTTTTAAATTTAAATTTAAATCTATAAGTTCAAATCTTATGAACTGATCAACCAAACCGAAAATTGACCCAAACCAATACAACCCGAGTTGGTCGGATTTCACTAATGGTCAATCATTTTAAGGTGACCAACTCCCCAGCCTAATTGGGTCACTTTGGTTGGCTAAATAACATGTAACCAAACTAAACTGACCCGTGAACACTCCTAATTTCAGGTCAGCTAAATTAATAGTCTAATCTCTAATAAATAACAATAGTTTAATCTCCAATAATTATTGAAAATTTATAACAGAAGTATGCAATTATTGAAAATAAATTTATAGTGAAAATACAATAAATAACTAATAAAAATACAATAAATACTAAAAATATATTAACTTAGTCCTTAAATAGTGTAATCTCAAATAATAGTTTGATCTATAATATATATTAACCAATAAATTATAACAAAAATACAGAATTACTAAAAATAAATTTATAACAAAAATACAATAAGTACAATAAAATAAAGTTAGAAAGTTAAGTAATAGTAATTTAATCTCTAATAATTATTGGAAAATTGTTGTTAAATAAAAACAAAAATATATTTATCCAAAAATACAATAAATATTAATTTTAGTATATATAAATATATATTAAGATTTTAAAATTTTTATTAATAAATATTAATTTTTTTGAAAGTTATTTTCTAGAATTATTAATTAATATAAGTGAAATTAGTTATTTACAATATTATTTAGTTATTCAAATAATATCATTATTCAAATAATTAATTATTTATTGAATTTAATAATTTATAAAATTATAATTTATACTATTGTTACATAATTTCGTTATTTTAACTATTTAAAATATTTAGTTACTTAAATGTTTAAATAATATGTAAAATATTTAAAAATTTTCATTATTTGAGTTTTACTTATTTTGAAGTAATTATGTAATATAAATATTTTGTTATATAATTATTTAGATATTTTTAACATTTTTATTATTAGTTATTGAAATATTTAAGTAATATTTTATTTTTATTATTTGAATAGCATTTCAATTGAATAATACAAAAAATTATAATTTACATTTATTTTATAGTTCGTATATAATTTTGTTATAATATTTAAATAATTCTTAAATTTTTAATTCAAACTTTCTTTAGATAGATATAGATAAAAAGTGAGTGAGAGGATAAATAAGAATTAGAGATAATTTAGGAGAGAAATTCTCTATTAAGTTAGAGATAGTCTAGGAGATAAATAGGAATTGTAAATAATTTAGGAGAAAGTGGTGGGGGATCCACTTGGCTAGTCATTAAAAAAAGCAAAACCCTCTTTTTTTATCTATTGGTCGTTACTTGTTAAAGATAACTCTTAGCCTATGTTGTTTCCTTATTAGTTTAAAGGGTAATTATGTAGAATTAGAAAAAATAAAAAATTCAGAAAAACAAAAAAAAAAATTAAGAAAGGGATTTAGAGCAAAGAGAGCGGGTTTTATATAATAAAAATAAGGGTAAATTACAAAGACCCCCCTGTACTATAGCCATGAGACAAAGACCCCCTTCCATTAGCCTTCTGTCTAAAAAGGCGGTTACAATATTTTTTAATCCCCATACTATCCTTGTAATAACTATTTGGACAAGAAAAAACACTGTTCATCTTCCCCGACCTCACTTCTTCCCCTTCCCCTTCCCCTTAACAGCGTTGGGATTGAACCCATTTAATATATATAATCCTGCTCCCTTTCACTTACGGTATTCCGATCTGTAAGTGATCGATTCAGATCGATTGAGAGAGACGATTGAGAAAGCTTGAACTCGTTGACAACCACAACACTTATACCATAAGTGGCTGAGCAAATAATTCTATCAGCAATCTCATGGCTCTGGGTATTTGAATATTTAGCTCTGTCTGAAACAAAACAAACTATTCCCTGGAGGTCAAGCTCTGATTTAAGCCACCTTACATAAGCGTATCAGATTGGAATTCTGGCCATGGAAGCCTATATAAACATCACAGCTCCTGAGTTTTGCATTAGGAGAGTTAGAAACTGAGGTTTTCACAAAGGAAATCCGAGGGACAGGGAAGGTAAATGAGATTCGGGGAGGTGCAGTATCAGGAACTGGAGCACAGGTTACAAATTTAAGCTTTTGGTCAGATGGGTCATCGCAGAAATCCAATCTTTCTAGTGGAGGGGTGTAGGAAGAGCTTGGGATGTCATCAGATACAGAACCACAGTAAGAAACCGGAGGAGAAGGATGTGTTGCTGGAGTTGGGTTTTCTGGCGTAGTAGATGGAATCACTTTTTCTGGTGTAGTAGATGGAGTCGTGTTTTCTGGGGGTGGTGGAAGCAAGGCCCTTGGAGATATGTAAGGTGATTGTAAAGCTGAAACGAATGCTGATGATGGTGGGGAGATGAGGGATGGGAATTCAATGGAGATGGATGATTCAATTAAGCTCTTTATGCATGGTGAAAGCAAATCGAAAGGAGACGCAGGGAGAGATTTCTTACTACTCAATTGGCTGCTGCAGGAACTTGATGTCCTGATGGTCAGAGGCCTAGTTGGAACTGCAGATAGCTTGTGGGCCTCTCAGATTCAAAAGTTCAAAGCCAAAAACTTTTTCAGCCACGGAAGAAGATCCGAGTGGAGAAACAAAAACAAAGCACATTTCCCAAATGGGGCACACACTA